TACCACATATGTGACGTCTGAAAAAATAAAATGATGATGTTTGCTTAAAAAGTCTTAATGCTTCTTCAAGTAAGGGTGAATTTTTACAAGAGGTAAAATATTTTATATAGTAAAATTTTTATTAATTGAATAAACATTAATAATATTGAACTGATTAATATTTTAGATAAAAATCAACTCATATTTTGAGGTGTAGAGCAATTGTAATATACGGAATAACTAAAAATCCAACAGAAAATGAATATATGATAGTTATGCAATATGTAAAATATGGTAGTCTATGAAAAATGTTGAATAGTATCTTTAAAGTATAACTTGGTATAATGAAATTAAGAATTTATATTACATAGCTTTAGGGCTTGCTAGAATTCATAGAACTGGCTTAATGCACAAAGATTTCACTCTGGAAATATAGTTAATGAAACTAAAATTAGTTCTTATATCACTGATTTTGAATTGTGTAAGCCAGTTTCACAATGTGATAAAGAAAAAATTTATGGAGTAATTCCATATATGGCACCTGAAACATTGAATAGAGGAGAATATACTCAAACATCTGACATTTACTCATTTGGTATGATTATGTATGAAATTTTTACTAGTTATCCTCTTTATTATAAAATACCACATAATGAAAAACTTATGATTTTAATTTTAATTTATAATGATCATAAACCTGTTGCTCAAAGATTAAATAGAAAAATGTTAAGATACTGATCCTTCCAATTATCCAAAAGCTATAGAACTCATGAAATATTTTTGATTGTGATTATAATAGTGAATTATATAAACAGATTGAAAAAGCTAACAAGACTAATAAATTAAATAAGAACTTTGTTCAATATGATCCAAAAACGATACATCCTCAAGCAATATATCCAAGTAGATATTTGCTTTTTCTGAAACCAAAAAAAGCTGAACATAGTAAGTATATTTTTTTAAACAAATAATTATTTTATAAAAATATTTACATAAATTTTATTTAAATACAAACTAGTGAGATTTTGAAATCCTTGAAGATGTAAGTAAG